AGAATACAGTTTAGTCACATATTTTAGTAATAAGATAGCCATGTCTTGTCAAAAAAACTTCGATATTATGGAATATTGATCCTGAGAAATTATTACGCATTCAGATATTCGTCTTCAGTTGTTTCGATCGTCTTTGCAACTTTTCCATGTTAATGGAACAATTACGGCAGTGATTCTTCCATATTTTTCATTGTTCGCACGCTTTCAAACCACCAATCAGTTCTCACATCCCTTTCAAGCCACCAACCTGTTCTCGTGCACCTTTCAAACCAAAAACCAGTTCTTGCATCCATTTCAAGCCAGCAACCTGTTCCTCCACCACTTTCAAGCCAACAACCAGTTCCTCCACCACTTTCAAACCACCAGCCATTTCTCACATGTCTTTCAATCCAACAACCAGTTCCTGCATCCCTTTCAAACCACCAACCAGTTCTCACATCGCTTTCAAACCAACAAACAGTTCTCACATCCCATTCAAACCACCAACCTGTTCTCACATCCCATTCAAATCACCAACCAGTTCTCACATCGCTTTCAAACCAACAAACAATTCTCACATCCCATTCAAACCACCAACCTGTTCTTACATCCCATTCAAATCACCAACCAGTTATCACATCCCTTTCAAACCACCAAACAGTTCTCACATCCCATTTAAACCACCAACCAGTTCTCACATCCCATTCAAACCACCAACCAGTTCTCACATCGCTTTCAAACCACCAACCAGTTCTCACATCGCTTTCAAACCACCAACCAGTTCTCACATCCCTTTCAAACCACCAACCAGTTCTCATATCCCATTCAAACCACCAACCAGTTCTCACATCGCTTTCAAACCACCAAACAGTTCTCACATCCCATTCAAACCACCAACTAGTTCTCACATCCCTTTCAAACCACCAACCAGTTCTCACATCGCTTTCAAACCAACAAACAGTTCTCACATCCCATTCAAACCACCAACTAGTTCTCACATCCCTTTCAAACCACCAACCAGTTCTCACATCGCTTTCAAACCAACAAACAGTTCTCACATCCCATTCAAACCACCAACCAGTTCTCACATCGCTTTCAAACCAACAAACAGTTCTCACATCGCTTTCAAACCACCAACCAGTTCTCACATCCCTTTCAAACCACCAACCAGCTCTCACATCCCATTCAAACCACCAACCAGTTCTCACATCGCTTTCAAACCACCAACCAGTTCTCACATCGCTTTCAAACCACCAACCTGTTCTCACATCCCTTTCAAACCACCAACCAGTTCTCACATCCCATTCAAACCACCAACCAGTTCTCACATCGCTTTCAAACCAACAAACAGTTCTCACATCCCTTTCAAACCACCAACCAGTTCTCACATACCTTTCAAACCACCAAACAGTTCTCACATCCCATTCAAACCACCAACCAGTTCTCACATCGCTTTCAAACCACCAAACAGTTCTCACATCCCATTCAAACCACCAACCAGTTCTCACATCGCTTTCAAACCACCAAACAGTTCTCACATTCCATTCAAACCACCAACTAGTTCTCACATCGCTTTCAAACCACCAACCAGTTCTCACATCTCTTTCAAACCACCAGCCATTTCTCACATGCCTTTAAATCCAACAACCAGTTCATGCATCCCTTTCAAACCACCAACCAGTTCTCACATCCCATTCAAATTATCAACCAGTTCTCTCATCTGCTTCTAGAATTGATGAAAAACAATATTTATCCCATGTGTAAATAACAAAACTACTACGGACACGTAGCCTTGGTAAGCGGTCTAAATGAACAATGTACGTGGTTGAATCAAACCAACGCTTTTATCGACTGGAAATTGTCTCCTTGACCATTGGTTGGATTCAGTTACATGTGAGTTCAGTATCTGGCTACTGCAATGTTGAACAAAAAGTTAAAGAGTTGAGTGAAAGGGAGATAACTTATACTTAGATATGCAGAAGAGGCATTGCACGTGGAACTAGAACAGTCTACACCGGTGGAGGAAATAAAGGACTCAGTTGGAAATTGCAAACAACTGACGAAGGCCGGAGCGTACAACGACCGGAACGTCGTGAATATGGAAATAAGGATGAGGACAACAGTCCGAACAATGTAAATAATCAAATTACCACATCTCAAAAATATACAAAGTTAATGTATGAAAGAGGAGAGAATGGGCATTCTATTTGGCATATACGCCATCTCAGAATTATAGAGGAGAAAGTGTGGGAAATAAGTCATCACTACAGGCCCGCATAAATGATTCTGGACTATTTCAACGACTGAATGTAAAGACTGTGTAACACTAGTCCAGATATGTCGACTAGCCGAAATCTTCTCGGCTTGACGGTCGAACTCTCTGCCTCTGAGCAGAGAGGAACCCGGACGAGGCTCCGCCGAAGGGCAGAGTCTCGTTCGGGGAGGTTGACCAACCCGATCCCGTTATGCGGGATCTACGGGCATTTTTTGGACAAGCCTACGGGCTCGAAGATCCCACGTTAAACCCGGCCTTGTGCTACATGCCACCCTCATTGGGGGTGGCTAAATATACTAGTCCAGATATGTAAGAAATACTCCAGTTTTGGTTGATAATGACTCTTGTAAAGTGAAAGCGTTGCAGGAGTCAAGTACTTTGTAAAATAGTGCAAGAAGTTGACTATTTCTCCAGACAGCACAATCCGCCATAGAACTTTTTTTTTTTTTGTGAAATGACGATTTTGCTCCATTTTTTGTTTTTTTTTTTTTTTTTTGTTATGTTTTTCTTCAAAGGTATGTACAGATGAAGCCTGTTGGCGGGCGACTCTCACCAGTAACACCGCATTTTTCTCCCCACCAGTATTTCCTGGACAAATACCAATATAATATCGCTTTCTTCTGATTCCTATTGCCATTGGGATACAAATATTGGCCATTGCTTCGTATTAATGGCAACAACATTTTGTTGATATTAGACTTATAGACATTATTGACCCTTAAGGCACTGGCATTTGCGTTAGGATCTTTTGAAAATAAATTATCAGCTATTCAGTGTTCCTCTGTGCAGTTAAAACGCGGGACACATACGCCTTTGTGATCGTTTCTGCCTTTTATGCAATTCGATTTCTAAATCATGAGATTCCCCCGAAGAATTTATACTTCAGAATCGCAGAATTTACAAGAATTTGATTGAAACTATCTCTCCTCAGAATCCTTTTCCCTTTTCAATGACCTCTTGGCCAAAATCGTGGACTGGTTTCCCGTCGCCTCCTACACGGTTTTGAGTTCAGAGTTGTCGTTTTCCCAGTTTAGGGGCCAGCCTAAGCAAGTGCCAACTAGTGCAGAAGGTTCTTGAAACGTTACAGACAGGTTGTACTAGGTTCAAGAATCTCTGACGTTTGGGGTGCGTTATTGTAACACTAGTAGAAGTCTCTTCCAGCCGACATTAAAAATGTAAAATGCAATATCAATTACTATCTGCTGTCCTCCTGATTATTCTTCTATTGTTCCCGTACGTTATTAATGTTTTGGTTTTCTAATTTTTATAGACTCAGTAACACCTTGGGTCTTAGTAGCTTTACTGCTTTTCACGGGGTGAATTCGACTAAAATATACATATGTACAAACACATACATACACACACACACACACACACACACACACACACACACACACACATATATATATATATATATATATATATATATATATGTGCATGTATGTATAAATATAAAAATAAAAGTGAACATTGAAGTCAAAACTCAGAGGCGACAGGCTGTTTCAGGTTAGACGCAATCGTCAGGCCACCTTACTATCGCGTCCAGCATGAAACAGCCTGTCGCCTCTGAGTGTTAACTTCAATGTTCACTGTTATATTTATATTTACACACGTTCTATCTCTGATACTGAGTACTTTGTCCTTAAATATAGCAAACATTAAAACTATATATCTATATATATGTATATATAGATAAACCTAGTGAGCAAGACAAACCTACCCAGGTTTCACCTAAGCGGATCGTCAGGTCTGCTCTACGATTGAAGATCTTTTGTTAGTTAGTTGTTTACTCGTATCGGTTTTTTTTCTTTGGGATTTAAACCTGTATCTGCGCGATTTTTTTCGACAGACTTTCATGTTTCTAGCTCTTTCTTTTTTTAAAACCTTTTTTTCCCTCGAGATTGATTTGATTATTGGCAAATCAAAAATTCGAAAGTTTTTCGAGACGAGTATAGTCACCTATGTTTATATATATATATATATATATATATATATATATATATATATATAATTTTATATACCAACAAACAGTATTTATCAAAATAGTATGACAAATTGAAATGTTTTGTGATGCATTTCATCCGTTAGGCTTTCATCGGGCTGGGCTTTCTTAATGTTGACACTTCTACACATGCGCACGAAACGAGTGATGCTGGTAGTTTCAATGTTTTTGAAAGAATATTATTTAAAAGAATATTTATTTATTTTCTTTGAAAGAATATTTTTTTAATCTAGTGGAATTCATCTATATTCTTTTTCTTTTTCTCTTCATCACCTTCGTCTCTGCCATTGCCACATTGTGACAACAGATAATCTACCAAGAATGGTATGGTGATATATTGAAGAGATATATTTTTTCACATGCAGTAACCCTTTCTGTCTTAGTGGCTTTATTGCCGTTGTTTGGGGTTAACTCCATTAAAAAGATTATAACATTAGAATACGTTTTATTCAATAAACGCTATTTATAGAAGCTATAAAATGTATTTTCAAAATCAATAATTTAGATATTTGTCTGGAAATTATTAACCATTTTCTGTTAATGCAATCTTACAAGACAACATATTTGTAATGCTGCGAGACAAAATTGGGTTTCCGGCCACATAACGTTGAAACACCGGGTCCCATAAGATCATCGAAGTTAAGCAACATCGATCCTGGTCAGTAACTAAAGGGTGACCGGCTAGGGATACCAGGTACTGTCAGCTTGGGTGTGCAGGTGGTATAATGGGATTACGCTCGCATCACGTGGAAACATCGGTTCCCGTACGATTATCGAAGTTAAGAAACGTCAAGCCTGGTCAGTACCTAAATGGGTGACTGCTTGGGAATAACAGGTACTGTTATTTCTTTTAAAACTTGTTTCGCCATCCATTTAGTCAAGCTTACTAATTATGATATACGTTGTCTTCCTCAGTCACTCTAGCCACCAATCTGTCCTAATACCCTGTCTGACCCTCGGAGGAGGGGCAAGACCCCCCCCCCCAATAAGGTGTCCTGTGTAAGACGATATACTACATCCGCGTCCTGGGTAAGACGATAAAATACAATGAAACAGCAAAGATGTTTTGAGGAGCGTGGAACCATCTCTTCATTGCTGGTCTTCCCAAGTCCACCTGGGGTGGTAGCACATGTTAGGGTCCCAGCTATGAGCAAATAGTTAACCACCATACATCTGTGCAAAAATTATTACTAGCAACGAATTCTTGAAGAAAAAATTATTACCACCTCTATATTATTACCAGCAATACATTTTTTTAAAAATATTACCAGCAATACATTTTTGAAAAAAATATTACCAGCAATACATTTTGGAAAAAAATATTACCAGCTTACGTTTTGAAAAAAAAATATTACACGCAATACATTTTTGAAAAAAAATATTACCAGCATACATTTTTGAAAAAAATATTAACAGCAATACATTTTTGAAAAAAATATTAACAGTAATACATTTTTGAAAAAAAATATTACCAACAATGCATTTTTTGGAAAAATTATTACCAGCTATATATTTTGGAAGAAAAAATATTATTAGCAATACATTTAGAAAAAAACATTGCTAGCAATACACTTTTAGAAAAAATATTACTAGCAATACATTTTGAAAGGAAAAATATGACCAACAATATATTTCTAAAAAATTATTACCAGTAACACACAATTTTGGAAAAAAATATTACCGGCAATATATTTTTGAAAAAAATAAATATTACCAGCAATATATTTTTGGAAAAAAATATTATCAGCACTACACTTTTGGAAAGAAATATTACCAGCAATACATTTTTAAAAAAATATTACCAGCAATACATTTTAAAAAATATTACCAGCAATACATTTTTAAATAAAATATTACCAGCAATACATTTAAAAAGAATATTACAAGCAATACATTTTTTAAAAATTATTACCAGCAATACATTAAAAAAAAAATATTACCAGCAATACATTTAAAAAAAATATTACCAGCAATACATTTTTGGAAAAAATATTACCAGCAATAAAAATTTTGTTTGCCTTAAATAACCCAATGAGGTTGATATGTCGTAAAACAAAGCAAACCAAACCAATCTGTCCTGTAATATTTTACAAGAAGTCTTTCCTTATTATGTACCATATGTTTCCATTTTCTCGAAAACATCACCGTTGCCCCCATGTTCGGTCCGTGGTATCCTCAGCATCCATCCGAATAACAAGATTTCTGTTGATTCAAGTCTCTCCTTCATCTTTGAGATTTTCTAGCACTCACTGCTATATAGGAGGACAGATATCACGAAAGACTTCAGCACTCTTTTCTTCGTTTCTCTTACTTCAAGTCTCTTCATCTTTGAGGAGATTGTCTAGCACTCACAGCTATAAAGGAGGACAGATATCACGAAAGAGTTCAGCACTCTTTTCTTTCTTTCTGTTACTCCAAGTCTCTTCATCTTTGAGGAGATTGTCTAGCACTCATTGCTATATAGGAGGACAGATATCTCGTAACAGTTTAGTATTCTTTCTTTTGTTTCTAACGAAATTTTTCTTTTTTCTTGATACATAGCTTAGCTTTTGGAATGCATCTTTGTCTATCCCTATATGCCTTCGGATTTCGATGTCGCACAATTCCCCCTTTGTTAAAACACTTCGTAGATACTTAAATTTTTCTACTTGTTTGATTTTTGTCTCTTCTATTTGCAATTCGCACTTTGGGCTCATCCTTTTGCTAACAGCGATGCATTCTGTTGTTTTGCTGTTGATATTTATTCCTTATTATCTTTGCGGTTTCATTCACGAACTTCTGCTGTTTTCTTCCATGTCTTTTTATCAATAATGTATCATTTGCATATCTTCTAACGTACTTTGGGCACAGTGCAATGGTTAAGAAGCTTGTGGCTCTTGAACATTTACAAATGAATAGTAAGTCCTTAGAACATCTATCTATCTATCTATCTATCTATCTCATCCTGTTCATATCTATCTATCTATCTATCTATCTATCTATCTATCTATCTATCTATCTAAGCCTGATCATATCTATCTATCTATCTATCTATCTATCTATCTATCTATCTATCTCATCCTGTTCATATCTATCTATCTATCTATCTATCTATCTATCTATCTATCTAAGCCTGATCATATCTATCTATCTATCTATCTATCTATCTATCTATCTATCTATCTCAGCCTGTTCATACCTATCTATATATCTATCTATCAATCAATCTCAGCCTGTATATATATATATATATATATATATATATATATATATATATATATATATATATATATATATATATATATATATATATATATATATATATATATATATATATATATATATATATATATATATATATATATATATATATATATATATATATGACATCCGATGTTGTGTATTGGTTAGGAAGCTTGTCTCACAAGGTCATTTACAACTGTATAATGAGTTCGATCCTCACTGGGTGCCCCATACTTTCGGCCTTCTGCTGCATCTAAACTACGCTTTGATAATCGCTAGGCACTTCGATGTCATGTCATGGTTACGAAGCCCGTGTCTCTAGATCAAATGCAAAGGAATAATTAGTTCGATCCTCACTGTGCCAGACTTTCTCATGGATGGCTTTTGCTTTCAGCTCTCAAGATATCATTTGTAGATATATTAACCATGATAAAAGATAATATATTACTTTTGTAATAAAATGCATGAATTGTCTGGTATTTCTCATCTTTTTGGGGAAACGGAAATGATATATTTGAAAAAAACGTATATTTTTACAGCATGCTCTTTGAAGATATTTTTTATCGCTGTCTTGTAAAAAAAGCATTTGATTAACTGTTGCATATATTCATTCTCTTTCACAAAGTAATTTCATATATACACACACACACACACATATATATATATATATATATATATATATATATATGTGTGTGTGTGTGTGTGTGTGTGTGTGTGTGTGTGTGTGTGTGTGTGTGTGTGTGTGTAATTTAACATTGCCCGATTTGTTTCGGAGATTTTAGAAAAAGAATTCTTATAAAAATGTACCAATTTGCTACAAAGAAATTACACTGCTGTAGACACACATAAAAACTTCCTTGTCATATAAAGAAGGAAATTAAAATGAAAATTCCACATTTGAAATATATAGATTAAGTAAAGTCACTTTAGGCAGAAATGATGACACACTAATTAACGCTCTCGGCTAGCTAGAAAAAATAGATCGATAAGCAGGCGGTGTACAACTGCGTGAAACATAGGAGAAAGACGTGTATCGCAGTGCCACGGTTGACTGGCTTGCCTGATTGATCAATTAATTATTGCAATCGCTTCAGTTATCTTTTAGAAATCATGATCTGTAGGGTAGCTAACGGAGGAGCGGTTAGTCCCGGGTGGGGACACTTTTATCGGGGCGGCAATTTAGGGTCTGCTGTATAAGCATCTATCGGTTGTATTGAAATAAAAGTGGTTTTAATTTTGGGAAATTACTTTGAGATGAAATACCTATTCACTTCCGAGTAGCTTAAACTATGGCATATGTATTTAAAACAATTGTTATCGTTGTTGGATAATAAACATCTTCCAGTGACGTGTTCAGTGGCGTTTTATTATCATTGACAATGCGTAACCCCTGAACGGACCCAGCGTGGTATTATATGTGAAAGGGGCATCTTGGCTGTTATAATAATTTCAGTTATTTTTCTTGATAGAACTTCGTTTGAGGGCATATATTGGTCTATTTTTCGTATTTTGGGCTTCTTCACAAATATTATTATTTTTTAATTTGTAACTTTTTCTATATATACATATTAAGAAAGTATACGTGGCTTCTCATTATACTATATATATATATATATATATATATATATATATATATATATATATATTTAAAGATATTTTTGTAGGTACAAAATTTAATAATCGAAATAAAAGTATAAAATTTAATATTACAAGACATATTAAAACAATATTAAATAATAAAAAAAAAAAAAAAACTCAACAACAAGGGGGAAGCAACCGGTTTCGCTCCCTGCTCGTCAGGCTTCCACGGGGAGATTCAATATTAAAACAGAAATGTACAATGTGAATAGGTGGAAAAAAAAAAAAAATTATATATATATATATATATATATATATATATATATATATATATATATATATATATATATGTTTGTATATGTAAGAAGGAACTATATATATATATATATATATTAAATGGTAGTGTGTACGTGTATTAGACGAAGCTAATATAAGAAGAAAGTGTCTATCGTGGCCTCACGTTTAACACCCTTCTTTCACAGATTAATTCAGTGAGGAGAAAACAGGTCAGATGGCTCATCGTAAGATAATACTCGATTCCCCATAACTCCAGATAACTCTCTCGCAAATAAATAAATCAGCAGAGACCAACCAGGAAATCCACTTTCTTTCTCAGCATCAATAATCCTGGGTATGACGATAAACTCCATCGAGCAGCAAGTCCTCTGATGCGGAGCTTGCAACCACCTCTTAATTGTTATTGCTCTCAGGTTTGGTTTGGTTTATTTTATTTTACGGCATATCAACTTCAATAGATTGTTCAATACTGACAAGATGTGTAGGATAGGTTCGTATGAATAGAATATGTATTCTTTGTAAGAAATCAGTTTGTAGATGAGGTTTCATTGACGTATTTTTGCAAAGAGGATTTTTGCTGAGAGTTTGGGTTGGTTTATTTAGTTGTACGGCATATCAACCCCAATGTGTTATTTAACGAAGACAAGATTTTCAGGATATGTTTGTATGAATAGAGTATAAATTGTTTGTAAGAAATCAGTTTGTAGATCAGGTTTCATTGACGTATTTTGTAATGAGGGTTTTTG